GGTGCCGTCCATGACAGGCTGAATCATTTGAGATAAGATAAGATAAAATATTCCTTTATTTGTCCCACAATGGGGAAATTCTTTCTTTGAGTTCAGCTCATGATGAATGAGGGCAAAAACAAAAGTGTTGCGTTTATAATTTTGTTCAATGTAAGTAAGACCCTTAAAGGTCGTTATTAAAGTGTAAATATTCATGTTCACACGCACAGAGTTTCAAAAACACTGCAAAATGTTTATTCTAAAAGTGAGGATGCCATTTTGAAAGTAATTCTTGCCTTGCTTGCTGTTTGCTGTGTAATGGGTTCCTGAGTCATATTTACTTATAAAATAGCATAAAGTTAATCACGTGGGATTTTGATTTACTGAAACAGCCAGCAGAATTTGTGTGCTCAAACCGGGCTCCCAGGTATGAAAGCATGCAAATGTGAAGTGCCGATGAACAGCATTCAGGAAACTATTCACTCATCAACAAGCGTAATAGTTCCCAGCTGTCTGCATTGTGTATTTCATCTGTTACATCTATTTTCATTTCCATCGTTCTCTTACTAATGAGGCATGCTCCCGAACCCCGTGCTGCTTGATGGTTTTCATGTTTCCAGCTGAGCAGTCACTGTTTTATCACCCTTTGGCCATGAACACCCATTCAAATCTGCATCAAAGCAGTAAAAGATGCATTAAAAAAATAGTCAAATTGTTTTCAATTCTTTAAAATGTAATTAGAATAGAAGACATGACATTTTAATTTGAGAGAGGAACATTGTTTTTTATCATACCTCAGTTATATTTCCATTTCTCTGCTTTTATCATCCTCTCTCCATTATTTCCTCCACTCTCAGGCATTATTTCACCTTCACCCTGTCATCACCCTGTCTCTCTTCACTCTATCTTTTCTCTGTTTTGGGCAGAACTAACTGTAATGACGGGACCCAGAGCCACGGCTATTTTACAGATTGGTTCAGTCCAGCTGGAACTGAGCTTCTCTCCACCTTGACCTCTGACAGGAAATGGCATCCTCCATACTTTCTAGACTTCCACATTTCCAGCTATGCCAAAAAGTCATCAGCCACCAAACAGTCACCGTGCCTGGGACGGTGTGTGGAAAATTGTGGCTGACCTAAAATCCAGTGTGGCATTCGGAAAATAGCCTATTATGTCTGAGGTTTCAAATAAAACTGTGAAAACTCTCTTGTGACATACAAATATGGCAGTGAGTAAACAAACAAACCAGGTAGGAGATACAGTCATACATAGATTGTTGAAGTCACTGGACTTTAGGTACTGATGGTCTGATGTAGCTTAATCATGATATCATGATACTTTACTATTATAAAGAAAAATGATTTAATAACATGCCATTGAATGGTGGTACAAATGCTATTTCCTTCAATATTTTCTCTGTATGTATTCACCTTTGAGGCTAGAATAAGGTTGTAAAAGCACAACACTCATGTGTGAAAGCCTTGTTCACAGTAAATGAGCTTCCAATAAGCCTCGTGGCCTCTCCTCCCCCACTGTTCCTCCACTAATCATTGCCCGACTGTCAGGGTGGTTTCCTTGGTGACCTGTGTGGCAGCCTGGTGAGAGGTCATGTTAGATTAGAAAGCACCCTGTGTGATATAGGTTACAGCACTGAGATGCTAGCATGGTGCTGGGGTGCGGGGGTGGAGAGTGCACATACGCACACACACACACACACACACATGCACAAAGAGACACATGAGTCACATCATTGACTAGGGCTGTGTTTGATACAGCTACGATCCTGGTGCTGCTATCCTTGCATCATTTGTGACTTATGAGCTGATGTGTATTGTGATGCTTATGTTTGTTGCAGATAAAAGTCTCGGGTAATAACCAGGAGTGTAACATGTTAAACATATTTTAAGAATAAGCAGCTACTAAACAGAACTTCATATCTTATAAAGGCGTTTGACATGAATCATTTAATGTATCACCACTGAAAATGTCTCATAATTATGATTTATTTACCAAACTGAAAACCTTTCCGTGCATATGTATTTTAGAGTGAAATCTTAAGAAGTAGAAATCTTACTATTTTTTGTTTTTCCATTATCATACCTTATATAGAACCTGGCACTACATCTGTTTTTCTCCCAGGAGAGCATTTTGTCTCCTCATTACATTAAACAAATATAGATCTGGCCATTGGAGGGCACTGCAATGCAGAATCACTCTCATTTGAGATTTAGTTTCAGTAAGTCTCCATATCAGTCAAAATTAGGCACAAATAAATACATTTTTCATTAATCTGTGAAAACATTCTCTTGATGATTCATGGTTCATCTGCGATTTTAGAAGTCTAGGTTCAGTCTGACTCCCACTCTGTCTTAGGCAGGTGTTTGTAGTGACAGACAAAAATTCTTTCCTATGTCTGTAACCATGGCAGCCACAGAGAGAGAGAGAGAGAAGAGAAATGTTGTCTTCTGATTTTGTGCTAACCAAAAAGAAAGACTCCAAAAATCCCAGCAATAACAATCACGCTCTTCTTTACATGAGCAACCCTGCACCAATTTACCTCAAACTTCATTAATATGTCCCTGTTGTCGTGACATAAGGTCAGCATCTATCTTGCTTCATTAAGCCGCAGACAGATTTCATACGAGAAGTCTTGCAATGATAGTCAGGGGTCATTTTGCAAGCAGGTTTGCATGAATAATAGATGGCTAGTTTGGAAGATTAGGAGAGGTCAAGCCTTGGTGGAAGAAGCAGATGTGTTGTTATGTGATTTGCGGGACGCATGTCGGCAGAACAAAGGGAAGATGGAGATACAGACTTTTTCCATCATAAATACAGATTACATGTGACAAAACTGCAGTGAAAACCTCCACTCTTATAGCTGTACTCACTAATTACTGTCACACAACAAAAATACAAATGCAGCATTTAAGTATTCAAATATGTGTTCATCTTTAATCACAGCAAATGGTGAAAAGTCATTTATTTGTCTTTGTAAATTCCATACAACACATGGCCACAGCTTACTAGTGACCCATTTACACACACAACAGGTGGGAGATGTCAAACATTACATTAGGTGAAGGAGTGGCAGTGTCACGTGACCATCTGGACAGGAAGAGAGTGTTTCACATATCCACGTATCTTCTCAAGAGCAAATCATAAGAATAATAAAATTTAATAAATACTTTATGTATATATATAGACGTAGATTTTATCTTCATATACATGCAACTTTTTTTAACATGCAAGGTAATTATAATGTTACACTTTGCATTGAAGCTTAAATAAAAGGCTTAAACTTATTAAACTCTGTGGGCAGACTCCCATTTGGCAAAGGCAAAAAAATCGAATAGCTATTTACAAATGCTCTTTTATAGATCTGTGCATCTTCTGCTCGGTCGTTACGCAATCAATCTTAGTGGATTTGTTTACACAACATTCATGACAACAGTTATATCTGCAATCCTGTATTAGCCTCTCAAGTACCATTATCAATAAATAAAGTTTTTTAATACAAGATGCGATAGTATCCATTTTAAGTAAATAGAAATTAGGTTTTAATCATTTTAATACACAAATGATGGTAGTTGGATATTTTTATGTAAAGATAAATGCAATATTAACAATAAATAGTTTCATTTCTTCTCAGCAATCATTTTGATTGGCATTTCTCAAAGTTCACTTTGGAATAAAACATTTTGACTGTATTTAGATCAATAAAGAACTCAAGTGAGTGAAGTGGGGGTGTTAATAATACAAGATAATTTCAAGATAATCACAAGTATGTGGACCAGTAAATCACATTAAAGAAGAGGAAGGTGAAAGGGAAGAGGGCTCGGGCGTACAGGTCAACTCTTTTGGCAGCAGAGGGGATGACTGGTTTTGGGGGAGGAGGTTTCTTGTTGTTCTTCGACTGGGATTTGCCGGCACCAGCGCCGGTATTAATCGGCTTCCCGTAGCAGTCAAAGTTCGACAGCTCAAAGTCCCGCGGGAGTGAGCCCACGATGCTGAAGTCGTTGGTCCGCAGGTCTGATTTAGAGGTGCACACCTTCTTACAACGAGTCTCTGCCACCTGGGTGCAAGAGAGCAACATGAGTGAAAACAGAATTGATTATTAAATTCTGTAGCTTTCCAAAACGTATGTATCTATCTGAAACATATAAACCAAGATAAGATTAGGTTAACTATCTGAAAGCACTGCTGGCAGCTATCAAGGCAGCGAAAGCAGACCAAAGATTGTTCCATTCGCAGAATAAATACTTAAGAAAAGTGTTAATTAAATATAGTCATCTTTAACTTTTTTGTAACTGCAGTTAAACTAATCTATGCCTCTATCTCTTTCCCAGATCATCTGTTGTGCTCAGTAGTCTTAACATTCAGCTACTGTCTAGTCACCTGCCTTCCTGTTGATGACACCTCCCTGCTCCTTGTTTGTATTTGTTGCCTTTGCTGATTTTACTACCTGTTACCAACCTTTGCTCCAAAACCTGACCAACTAGACGTCTTAATAGGTGTCCAAGACATTAATATATATATAATATATATACATATATATACACATACCACAGCATCAGTGACACTGAGAGCCACCACTGACTGAGACACAGCCAACAGACTATGTCTATCTACTTATTTGCTATTAATAAAAAAGTTGTATGTGTGTGTGTCTACAGTGGCAAAGATGTCTCTTAGACGTCACATCCACGCTGCAGGCAAGTTTCATCTGTGAGGAACATTTAAATGAGGCTGTTTAGGATTGCTGGACTTGGACTGAAAACAGACTAGACTTTGAAAACTCAGTAAAGGAGCTGTTTGATCCTGAATCTTGGACAGAACTCATGCTGATACAACAAAACTACTGTTATTTGAAGAGAAAAAAAAAGATTTTTGGAGCCAAAATTAGATTTACTTTGTGCTCGACAGTGTTGCCTAATATGGTTTTTCTCCCTCTCATCTTGGGTCTTGTAGCCTCTCTACACCTCCATGTGCTACCACATTGGACAACCGGTGCTTGTAAGAACTATCAGCAAAAGGATGTAGTCTAATATCATCCAAAAAAAACCTTTCATCAGCTTCCCTAAAGGCCCCCGGGTTGAATAGGATCTAATCAGACTATGGATGCTTACTCACTGAAGTCATTAAGCTCATTAAAGCTTCATTATTTTGATTTGGTTTTGACAAGAAAACCCATTAAACCTCAATAGAATAATGTAATCCTCTCAAACCAAATGTGGTCCAGACTGACGTAGACCTAGAAGTAAATTAATTTCAATTAGGCGTACAATTGGAAGACCTGTACACCATACTGCATGCCTGATGTGCATGTGAGTGTCAGTCCTGACTGAGCTGTGTTTACAGTCTGTGTGTGTCAGAGACAATGGACATTTTTAATGATTGGATTTTCGTGTTTTGCATTTAGATTAGATCTCTTTGCCTGAGGATGCTCTGAAATATGCATTTTGTCATTGTACTGTGTATTGTTGTGGTGATTAGCTACAGCATCAATACCCATGGGGACATTCTTTATACTTCAATCGAAATCATGTATGGGAAAGTCTGTTCACAAATCCAATCAAAGTTAAACTTATTTTCTTGTTTTTCAACACAAAGCTAATATTTTTATATGAATATATAAAAGGAGAATGTCAGTGTTCTAAGGTTACAGGAACGACGTTAGGACCAAATTCCTTAGTTATGTCAAAATATATGTATTGATTGTGTGCAATCAAAATAGTTTCCTATCCTTTTCCTATTTCCAGTTAGGATGAATATGTTTTTAAATGTTGGCACTACAGTGTAAATAGTGGGTTGGCTGCTGGCTACACCTGTTCCTGCTGCACCAAGTCTTGCTACATCAGTTACAGCAGTAACTGTAACTACTGTAAAGGTGCAGAAAACAATCAGCAGGATGGCTTTTGATAAAGTCTTAACGGTTTTTGAAAACATTGTTTTAGATAGTGACAGTGTGGATACAAACAGAAAACAGGAAGCAAGAGATGAGTATGAGCTAAAGTTAAAACTCACAGTGAAATTACTCATTGGTTTGGGAGCAAACATTTTAAATCCTTGAGTTTTTGTCATTACAGCCATCATGTTGGTATTTTGGAGCCCGAAGTGGCCAATATCTGGACGAGAGCTTGGAGTTGCGAGTGATGTACTGCGAGTAGGGCTCTGTTTTCAAGCAGGAAAAAAGGCGGTCTCAAACTTGTATTAGAGAACAATACAATACGTTTCTGAAAATATTTTATTCATATTTGATCAGCACTGCCTAGTTTGACAGTGTGATCTCAGGTTTGTGTGGTGCGCTGGATGAACTCACTGTGAATGACTTGACAATCACAAGTCAGCCACGCCCTAAAGCATACCCTGCTTTATTTTCTATTTTACTCTGAATGAGACCATAATTTACTAAATGAACATCAGGCTGTATGGAAGAAACTAGCGCTTGAGACCTTAAACTCATAAGGAAGCTGTTTGCTGAGCGAATAAATCAATTGAGAAGCGGGCTCATTTTGCTATTACAGTCAATGCAAATCCACTTCTTTTTGCAGCCAGTGGAATTGCCCCCTGCTGACCACTGGAAAGAATGCAGGTTTAAAGGGCTTCCGTAGTGGCTTCTCTTTACAGACCCAGAAGGTCTTTTCATATGCTGTCAATGGATATGACATGCAACGAAAGTAACTGGTCAGCATCAAACCAAATACTATATATACCAAAATTAAAATTGTTATTGTAAATACCGCTATAAGTGGAAAGAGGAGATTCCACTGATTTCAGTGGTATGTGTTTGATAAATAGTGACAAACACACACACACAAACAAAAACACACTCAAGTTATCAAACCAGATCCACTAACATGTAAGGTGCTGACATGAAGCGGCGTCCCTCCGGTCCCATTGACCGTGTTGTTCCTGGCAGCGGGGCTCTTTCCTGCAGCCTTTTCCTTGGTTGCCATCTTGGCCTTCTCGGCCTCGATGCGCTTCGGACTGTTAAGCATCACTTGAACCACAGCGTACTCCACCAGCGAGGCGAAACCAAACAGCAGGCAAGCGATGAGCCAGATATCGATGGCCTTGACATAGGACACTTTGGGCAGCTCCGAAGCCAGGGAGGTGCACTCAGAGGACAGAGAGAGCACAGAGAGGATGCCTAAACAAAGAGGGGAGGAATGTAACCTTGTCAGTCAGCAAAGGGAAAGGAAGTTGGATCTAAAAAAAAAATCTAAATTGTTACTTTTCCATGATACATGATTGATACTGTTACAGTTTTGGTATTCATACCATACTTTGAGGATATGTTTTTTAACATATGCTGTTTTAGTTATTTAACATAATAAGATACTTTTGTTTGTTTTTTTCTAAACATAAGCAGCCATGTGAAATATAAAAAACAGATGTCTGAAATTATGACTTTAATCTTCTTATCTGATAAAAGAATAAGTAAAACAAAAAAATAAATCTGACCAGTTGTTCAATTTCAACTTCTGGTACATCTTTGATATTTGTTGCTATGGACACATTTCGGTCTGTGCCAAAAAAGTATTTTTTATTTTATGTGTATTTTTATCAGTCACACACAAACACACGCTCACAAAAACAAACTGTAAAAAAAAAAGATAATGAGGATATTAATACTCAGCTCTGGTTAATCATGTGTGTAACCATGAATGTCAACACAGACCACTGACATAAGACAGTCCTTCTTCTGTAGCCTACATGTTTGTTACCATTGAGGAAATGCATTTGATTTACCTACTGCTGAGAGCGATGTATTTCCTCTTCAAGGTACAAAATACTGAACAAATTAATCTTCTAATATGCATAAAAGCTTTAATAGAATGCTCACATCCACACAGGGCTTCTTAGAACATGAATGCAATTATAAATTCATGACCGTTCCTTTACCTCCTTTATTAGGACATCTCCAAGAGCTCAGACAGCCTCTAATGATTGTAATTTTAAATTGTTTTTATCTCTGATAGCTAACAGGATTACAGGTTAGAGATTCCCCCTGCACGGCAGCAATTCTTTCAGGCCACAGCAGAAAGAATTACAATGACTCTTTGGAGGCTATTACAACCACCAATGAAGGCCTTTGCTCCCCTTCCCTTACTGCAATGATTCTTTAGAAAGACATGGGATGACCGATGGGTTTTGCCTCCAGGCCTCATTATGGTCACTCGTCAAGGGAGAGTTCGTACAGGGTTCAGGATTTCTAATCAAACCGCTCCTTCCTCACTGGAACAAACTGTTAAAGAGAGCCTTGTCATTCTGGAAGCCCACCTATTATCTACGAGTAGAAAAAGACTTGAAAGGTGGCAACACTAAAATAGCTTTGTTTGCCTTGTTCCCTAATGACACAAAATAAACCTAGCCTTTGTATCAGACAGAAAAACAAGAACATTTATTTATGTAATGCAGTGGTAGATTTTAACGGTAAATGTATCCATTTTTACTGTTACATTTCCTCACAACGGAAAGAAAACACAATGTGTGTATACATAAAAATGCACAGTTGAATGAACACATGGACACATACACACATATGTACACGAACACACAGCACAGCACAGAGCAATAAATGAGAGTAGCCCCACACCTGGGTGTTGACTGACCTGGACTGATCCCATTTAAAGAGAAGTCAGAGGAGGCTTCCAGGAGGAGTTGAAGTGATGATGGGATGAAAGTGGTGATAAATAACTGGAGGGAGGATGGAGAAAAGGAGGGAGTGGACGACTGGAGTGGGATAACAATGGATTATCTTATCCATGCAGCCCTGCACACACAGAGGTGCCCATGTGTTGTGGGTGACACTGACATATTAGACACAGGTTGAGTTATGGAGGAGGAAGAGGAAAAAGTACGAAGTGTAACAGACATTTTTCCAGCAAACACAAGCTTTGTCTGATTTATTAATATTGTACATCAATTCTACCATCCCACATGTACGGGATAATATATTGATATTTATAAAGCATAGACAAACATATTAGAGACCAGGGCCACTAACTATTTATCCAGAGGAGGCTTTCTAATCATTATGATGAATAATAACACACTGGGGCCTGCTGCGTGGACTTTATTGGACAAATTACTTGTTTTTGTTTTATTTTTTACAAAAGTGTATTGTTTTTTATTACATACGTAAAATACTGTATGTAAACTGTACAAATAATTTGATTTAAAGCTCATTTTAGCAACAACAGCTAAGCATGGCAGGTGTGTCAAGCTTCTCATGCAAAACAGGTGTGAACTGGGTTCTAGTCAGAGTGACCAAACACGCAACGGCAAAAGTGTCAGAAATGGATGAAATGAAATTAAAATGATGCAATCGTCAGAGTAAAACAAAATCAACAAAGTTTCTGGAAAGCAAACAACGGAGCTACAGATTCAAGTCATAGTTCTCTGAAGGTTATTCACTCCCAGCCATCCCAACGATGTCATTTCATTCATCGTTATTATAAAAATATTGATTATGGCCACTTTAATTGTAACAATTAATATTTTTTTGTTGTTGTGCAAGCTATATTCTAAATTCTAAAGTTTTTTTGTTGTCAGTTGGACCATTGTCAGTCCAAAGGTATGAATTAAAATGATGAACAATAGAGATATGCTGAGAAGAGTGTGCTTTAATAAAGTGATGATACTCTTTTATATCTGATCACCTTATATCAGCTTCTTAAATTTTGGACCAAACAAAGTCAATGAACATAGTTTCTGTCCCTTTTCCATAAGCAGTTCTAGGTGGACTGCGGCAGTCACTGACGCTGTAAGCAAGAGGAACACTAGAGAACGCTCATCTGTTCCTTGCCTGTGATGTATTCAGCGCTTACAAAAGCACAACATAAATTAAGTACTACAAGTCCTGAACCATTCTTGCATCCCCTCGGGGCTCAGGCTAACAGTCTAGTAATCTAGCTGGACCTTCTTCAGGCTAGACACAGTATGCTCCTCTGGTTTGGAAAAACAGCAGCACTGATCCTCATGCTCCTCAGCACAGCCCTTCATTAATTGGGTTAATAGGGATCAGGTGTGCCTCGTTGGCCAGCTGAGTGTCTCAGTCCTGGTTCGCTCTGTCTCCTGAAAGACCCTTGCTGCCTACACTGATAAACATAAGGATTCACCAGAGTACAAGAGCTTGTACTTGTTTCCTACCATTTTCTAAGCCGTGTACCTGCATATTTTAAACACGAGTAGCAAAACTTTACTAAATGATGTAAAACTTTGGCAGCGGAAATCTGTTTATGTGGCTAAAGAGGCACCACATCACAGTTCAAAAGGTGCAAAATAGGCCTATTAACCATGGATTACATTTTGGTCTCCCCAACGACTTAAAAACTAATAACCTTTACATGGACCAACCAGCACTTAAACATATGCTCAGATTCCCATGTATTTAGACCTAAACTAGCTCTTTTAAAAGCTTATTGACCTAAAGCACCACTGTAGTGGGTCCCATCTGTCAGTTACAGCTGTATTTAGTGATTTATCACATATAGAACAACACTGGACATGGCACCATGCTTGATAGATAAAGTCCTTCATGGTGTCAAAGTGATTGATGATGTCATATTAGGGCCATAATGTCAGTGATCCCAAAAAACATAAAAATCCAACAGAGAGGTTTGTATTTGATTGACCACAACCTTTTCTCATGGCTTTTTACAACAGTAGTTTTCACACCTAATTATCTCCATGACATGAACACTCTCACCAACCCCTATTTTTGATCCGACCCACCATGCACTTCATCTCGGTTTAACAGCACAAGGAATATTTACAGATCATATATATAGGTAAACGTCAGTGAAAGATGGTGGAATTGATTAAATAATCCCTACCCAAAGGGACCCTGGCAGCACTCGCATCAGGGTTGATCCAGAAGGACAGCCAGGAGAGGACTACGATGAGCAGCGTGGGGGCGTAAACACCCATCATGTAGAAGCCAACCTGTCGCCTTAGGGTGAAGATAACCTCAACACAAGTGTAGTACCCTGCATGTGGAAGGAGACAGCGGTCAAATATAATTAAAGACACATGGTTTGCCTTGAAATTAAAACAATGAGAGGCAGACATAGAGAACATAAGATGCTGGTATCATGCACAATGTAATTGTTTTCCAAATTAGAGGCTGGGGTCCCATGAGGGGGGTCGTCTTTATAGGAACTGAAGGACAGACTAAAGCTGTTTAAGGGGCCAGTGTGTAGGATTTAGTGGCATCTAGCGGCAAAATTGCATATTACAACTAAATGAATACCGCTCGCCTACCAAGCAAGTAGGGGAAACTACAGTGGCTGCAAAACTCAGATATGAAAGCCCTTATCATGGACCAGCATTTGATTTGTCCATTCTGGGCTACAGTAGAAACATGTTGGTTCCACATGGCGGAGTCCGCTGAGCAGGACCTTCCTCTGTAGATAAAATTATTCTTAGTTTCAGGTGATACATTAATGAAAACATAACTATGCCTATTAAATTCCATTTCTGCCAATAGATCCTTCTAAATGTTACACATTGGACCTTGAAGTGAAAACAGATACAAAGAGACAGTGTATAGCTACTTTTAATTTACCTGAATTCATTGTAGTAGTGCTAATATTAGATTTTGTAGTTCTTTTCAACAAGTGGTAGCTATTTTAACCGTTAGAAATTCCCGATATCTCCGACTCGGAATTACAATGTAGCTGATGTTTTTCATCAGTATACCATCTTTGTCAATTCACAGTTGTCCCATTATGACTTAATCAGTCTAAAAATGTCAACTTAGGAGGATCTGGCCCCTGAATTAAAACAGAGAAGGTGAGAGAAATGGCCCTATAGTGACTTGGTCTATTACATCTGTATTATGCATTAGTGGACAGGTATAAGAGCCAGCTTAAGCCCAAGCACAAAGCAAAGCACAGATGTGCACACCATTAGTAATAAAGAAAGCAAAGGGGAAGAGAAAGGAAAAGGTCAATGGGCCTATGTACTTTAACATCATTTTAGCTGACTTTGTTAAAGCTATGACCTGTTTGAGCACAAAGGGCAGCACCCCCCAAAAGCACTGCTTTTAGTTGATAACATGCCTGCTATGTAGGAGACCAACGCCTGTTCTATGCCAAAGTTCCTAGTGGATAGGAACATGTTCCTATTCTCAGAAGGTTATCATTCGTAACAGTACAGCATACATTTACATTCATAAATGATGAATTTGAACCGATCAATCTCTCTAATGTAAATATGGTCTTTATTAGTTGGGCTCAACCCAGCATGGAATATGCATCTATACACTTCAGACCTCCTACAGCCGTGTTGTGTTTCTGCTCTTTGAGACTGGTCAGTCGGTCCAACGGGATGGTAGAGTGGATGGACTGAAGTAATATTTAACTAGCCTGGGGATCTCTGGGTGAGCTTTATACAGCATATAAGGGCTGCCTGTGTCGCAGAGCAGGCTCGAACCAGTCGTACACAGAGGTGATCTTTGTGTCTGAACAGGTTGCCATGGAAACCCGTTAAAAGGCTGACTCATTGCCAGCAGTGTGCCTCCCTAGTGCGAGCGCACTGAGGTCACACTAGCTCTGTTGGCTGATAGAGATTTTCCATTTCACTGCAAATGTCATTTTGTACTCATTGGTCTCAATACATACTTTTTGTAGTTTTTCTTTATTTTATTACAGGAATACTCAGTAGTTTTAGCCCTTGCCAACAACCTGGGAAGAAGGTCAGTGTGGTCATGTTGTCCATTAGTCCCAGTATGTTAGAGTTTATCCTAACTATCTGTGATGAAAACATCTTGGAAAGATCTATGTAGCCACACAAGACAGTCAGATTTTCCATGTGAAAAGTGACTTCCTGACAATCCGAAAACAATAGACAATAACTGAAGAATAACAAGAAGTAACTTGGGTTGGACAGGTGAATACATTTGACTTCAACTATTCCACTAATTGATAAATGATAGCGGTAACCAAGCCACGTAGCAATGTACTTGCCCTTTATCTCTATTAATTTTTATTTTTTCTTAATGTGTTTACTGTTATGCACCAATTTGTATGTGAAAACCTACTTGGCAATAAAGCTGGTTCTGATTCAAGTAAACATGTAGGCAATCGATAATTAAAAACATTAAAAATATCCACAGAGCACCTTTAACTTTTGACCTAACCCTTTAATTTATTTGATATATTTGAAGAGCAGGGTTTTTATTGCGTGTTTTTTTATATTATTTTTTTTACTATGGGTTAACTCTGACCTAAGACTCTCAAAATAACCCTAACTCTAATTGATATAACTCCGACATGGAGTTTTCTCAAGGCAAACACTTGTCGAAACTGACAAGTACGCTCTCTCTCTTTTAGAGCCAGTGTTTTGCTTGTGCATGCTGGCTCACTGTATGTGAAATAAACAGAATCACTGATATGAGCTACACCTGTCGTTTTCCTGCTATGACAAATCAAAATGTGTGCCACAACAAAAGTCTGTAATTTTAGACAATTGTTATGTGCTGTGCTTTTTCTTCTGGCAATTATCAGTTCACTTTAACAGGAGCAGAGAGTTAACAGTTTTGGCATGGCTGTGGAAAATATCTCCAGACATAATGTAATTTCAGTTGACTGTATGATTACACAACAGTGCATATACATCCTCCTCACTATCACACAAAACTACAAATCTCCAGAATAATCCACAGTTAATCTTAACAAGATTACAGGCCATTAAGGTGTTAAAATTGTATTTCCTTCAACAAATGAAAGATTAAGGTGTAATAATCTTTATGCCTTTACCAGAAAGATGACCACAAAGCATTACCTCTGCTCAGATAAGAACGTGCAATTGAAGCCTGCTCGCTGCTGCCCAGGATCTGATCTGCCAAGATTTCATCTTTAAATTAACTGCACCAGAAACTAATCTTACCTTAACAAAGACACCCATCAAAATCTCCTATTTAGGAACCTATAACACTTCTTGTGTGATGGCTGCAGCCAGAACGATTCAATCTCTCACCACACAACTCAGAGAGAACTGATGTAAAGTAAATGCGAGACCAATATGACAATAAAGTAATTAGTTACTGTGCCATATTTTTGAGATGTAATGACATACAAAACAAATTTACTGGATGGGTGAATACATGAACCTCTTGGCCAAGTTAATAACAATCATGGCAAGCACCAGGCACATGAACATATTTTTTTAATTTGAGTACAGCATAGCTTTGAGCCTACCCAGAACAAAATATTCTCATTTCTGAGAGAATAATAAATGAATGGATGAAAGGAAAGCCCAAAGATGAACAGCATTGAAGTCAAAACCTTGTTAAGCTCAAAGACTTTGTAGCTGATGGAAATGCTGGAAAAAAAGTTTACTGGTTCAAGATATTTCACTCTGCTGCAAATGATCCATTTCAAGCGTCAGTCTAGAGTGAGTCGTGCCAAATTTAAAAGGGAGACCTGGCTACTTTTGGCTAGTGCTGGCTAGTATTTTGATGATTAAAAAACTACTTTCCTTACTAATATGCATTGCAACTTGCTGTTTAAAAATAAGTTTTTTAAAAAAGATTTATGGCAAGGATGGTACCTGTTCCTGCATAAAATTTGGTGCAGTTCCCATAATCAATATCTTCTTGTCTGATATCAAACTGTGGCAAAGCGATGGCGTCCATTTGCACTGGGTCTCCTGTCTGCCACATGAACTGCAGGTCATCTGTGGTGTAGCCAACTGGATGAAAGACAAAGGCACACAAAAAGTGAGACACTCCTACATACAAATACACACATACATTGTTGAAGCCACATTGGTGTGTCCTCAAATGCATTGATACATATACAGTCTTGTAAACGCCCACAATGTGAGCTTGCATGTTAAGCACACAAACAGAAACATACAATCAGAGTACAGAAATAATATAAATGCACACACACTAGCAGAGAGCTATACGTCTCAGCTGTCAGGTTTGGCATTAGAGGGAAATGGCTTGAAGTTATTTTGCTTATTTAAGTCTAAACTGCTTTGTAAACAAGATGCAATAACCACAGTCGGGCTCAATTAGCTGTAAGACTTTCACAACAACCTTAAAATATGATGATTTATTCCACTTCTCTAAGTGTTTGCCACTGAAATTAGCTCATAAACACAAGCAAAAAGCTAATTTACCCCAAAACAACTATTTTATAAAAACAACAAATATATTCCCAAGTCATAAATACTGTTAAGCCCCAAAACCAGCTAGTAAATGTCCAACTGAAATCCCACTTTTTTGTAGACAAATAATAATGTCAGCATGTTTTTGCTCATGTGTTGTTAATAGTTTTGTATTATTAAAAGAAAAGTCTTTTGGGAAATATCAGCTTGTTTTGTCTCCCTGTGTTTGATTGACAGCAACTGGCAGGCTGGTGGAGAGAAGGTAAACAAACTTGTGCTGTGGCCTACATGCAATGGGCAGACACAGTGTTTTTAGTGGTGATAAAGAGTATAAGGACCACACCAGCATCCAAACCGGACCCAAGTGACATTTAAAGGTATGTTTACATGCTGTTTAATGTGCTGCAGCTGAGCAGCTAATGAGCTACCTAGCCTGCAAACTGAGATTAGTAGTGCACTTCCCCCCCGGGGAGTGTTTGTTTGGTGGTTTGTTCAACAAGCTATGGTGCAGGAAGGAGATTTTAGCAGGAAAGCTAATCTGGGTTGTTCTTCAGAATCTGTGGCTCTTGTTGTGTTGTGTAGCAGGCTGTGGTTTAGCTCAGAGTGACATCTGCTTTGCCTATGACTGAACACTAACGCCACTTCTTTATGCAAGATTCGATTGGCTGCCTCAAAATAAGGTCTCCATCTATGTGAACACACACACAGTTAATGCAAAACTATAGGGCACCATCATAACCTTTCAAAAAAATATAAAATACTAATTTCTGCCTTGTTGTTTCTGATTTTTCTCTCTCGGAGAACACAGTATATGTATGCTGTAGCAGACAATAAAAATGCAAGTGATATTTCAGAAAAACTCACAGCTTTCAAGTTGCATTTTACACCTCTGTGTATCCATAGGGAATAATGTCAGATCCAGCGGACAAGAAAGGGTGACGGACAACCTGGAGGAGAATGAAGAAAATTCTGTTTTCAGTTTTCTATTATGCAATGCTTTTGTTACCCCCTTACATCCAATTACATTCACACAGAAGCCTTGTTTGCATGACACAAGTATTTCTTTGAGATCTCTTTACTCGTGTGTCTCGTTTTTGAAAGATGCATTTGCATGGGATAAACAATTATGTTCACTCAAGGCAAACTCACAAGGAGGATCTCTTGGGACGATGGAAGCCTACCACAGCAACAGTAGCTGTAGCCCCAACAAGTTTACATTGAGCCCCTTGGAAGATCTGATGTTTTTTTTACCAAATGCTGTGCATGTCAACAGTCTCATTATCTTTTGAGATTTCGCTCTTGCAGCCCACAGGCTCAATAATTCTTGACACAGAAATAAATAAAAAATAAAGAAAACCAAGGGAATATTTGCAAATAAGATTTAAAAAAAAACCTTCCCTAACTGACTGAGATGGACACTAGACTAAAATAATCATTACACACCTGCAGGGCATTAAGAACACAAATGATCAATTATTACATTATCACATTAGGGTCTCCAGGTAAGAGTCATATGCATGTAGCCTAATAATGATACTGAGTTGCCATTTTGTTTCATTTGGCACTTTATATATGGAAATATAAGGAAATATACTGTAACTTTTATGGTTTCAAATGGAATGACTATATAAAAAGTTCAAAACATTTGGAAATGTAACATCAATAAACTTCACACACTAAAATGGATTAATGGGAGAGTTTATATTCATCCTACTGGTGTATGTCATTTGAGTAGAGGTTTACTGTGAGATGCACACTGAAAAGCAAAGATTATTCTGCAAAGTTTTTGTAATTTATAACTAACATTTAGTTTTTATTATTAAGTCAATGTGTGGAGGATTTTTAAATAACAATTTAAAATTGACATTTCCTGGAACAACAACAGTTTGAACAACAATTAGAGCATATTTAATTAGACTTTTAATCAACTGTGATATTTAAACATTCCAGAGCTGGAAAAAGGACTTGTGTTATCTTTGAATGGCATGTATCTGAAATTTGCAGATCACATTTTAACAGTGAGGCAAATATAAATAAAACTCCTTACCTCATACTGATGAGGACGTCTCCATTCCGGAAAATGAAGAGGAGGATGTTCTCCTGGGTGACGTCGTGAAAGTTGGCGCTCTTCTCGTTAGCGAAGAACAAGTCAGGCTTCCAGAGACATTTGAACATCTTGGGATCAACGGTGAGAGAATCGGACTTGAAGTCTTGCGGTAGCTTCAGCCTGGGGTCATTCCAGCGCTGCCGCAGGAAGATGTTGACTCTGTAATCCTGTTAGGTACGACAGCACACGAGCACAAACATGGTTAATGTCTGTTTCATTTTAGGGCTATCGGAAACAAGTTGGATGCTTTTAGGGGGATTGATGACCTCTCTGAATGGGATTTGGTTAATGCTTATTTTCTATTCACATTTTCAATGAAGCTTTAAAAAGTAAGGAAGCCCAGATGGAAGGCCATTTTTATCATCACGACCTTTGGGCTCGATCTGTTCAAGATTTATAACACTCCCTGATGCTACAAGAGGTATCTCAAAAAGTATAAATAGGTCAATAAAAACATTTTAACCCTCCTAAATACATTTTAGTTACTTCTGATACTAATGGTTGTATGTGCAGTTAAAGAATAAGAGTTGAAAAGTGAAAATGTTCCTTTTTAAGACAACTACTCCTTTTAGGATACAGCAGTTCCACTTTATTGACACTTGGTTACGTTTTCTACTTCTTTTAAGATTTTTTAACACAGTGACGAGCAGCATTTTCTCACAGCAAACATTTCAACGACAACTTCAACACACCACTTCAATGTGCCAAGTGATTTTACAGCTGCAGCGAAAGCACTCCTGACATCTACAAACAGTTTCAAACAGTTAACATACAGAAAGCTGCACAGTCCAAGGGTCAAGTGTTATCAATACAGCGGACATGTGATACAGCAAATACCTCATTAGAGAGCTTATTAGTGAAATTTCCACATTCTTGTTGGTGAGAAAGTATCACTCAGTGAGGCTTTGAGAACGTTTTTTCTTTTTTTGTGCCTGCTTTGATGGCGTGCCTCAAGCTGTTCTGGGACCAGGTGTTAGGAGGGACTATTAATGCTGAGTGTGAAGATGGATGACATGTCAAATAATGCTGCCAAAATACCAGCTTTATGTGTGTGTGTGTGCTCCTGGGTAAGAAATTAACTTCCACCTTCCATCCCTTCATTGTTCCCACTTTTCATAATATCGGCTGTCTTTAAAAGAAAAAAAAAATGATGCAGAAGCTCATATTGAGTCTGCTAAGAGCCAACATTTCTCATCACCTAATGCACTCAGGTGTTTTCAGATTAAGGGGGGCAATTTTCCTTATATCCTGAGAACACAGTGGATAGTAGGCTTTGATGAAATCAGCAGCAGGGCTCATAATGGATCAGCATTCACATGTGCATATTTGATGACTCAAAAAACTGTGACTTAATATTAAACTGCCATAGAAATAATGGAACTAGAATAAACTTCAAGTCAATCAGTTCAAAGGAACTTATCCCCTCAAACCACACAAGTAGTAAACATTGGATTAGGTATCCAAACATGGTTGAGCATGCATTCCACTAACATCTGCTCACCCAGGTCATTGCTACACAAATGCGTGTTATTGTCTTTCTCTGGTTGAGTCTGACCAACTGTTGGCCCAGGGGAATGACACGCAAATAATATATTAATACGGCTGCTGGTGGTCTTCAAAAAGAACAATGGACCTAATGGTTCAAATTGTCATTGCAGGAAGTCTGCTGCTTAGGATATTTACACTATAATATTACAGTTGTTTTTTCTGTCATGGATGGGGTCAGATGATCTGCAATTCCAGGTCCGGCCAGAAATCATCATATCATATCATCATATCATTATATGACAAAAATCTTGAACATGTAACACATAACTACACAAATAAATGTATTATATATATACACCCAAATGTGAATTTCCTTTTTCTGTGTACTGCAGTATTCTACACTATTAACGTTTCCCTGTAAACTTTTGCCTACTGTTGAAATAAGAATCTAAAAAGCTCTAATCTAGTCTAAAAGTGCTATACACAATAGCATTCAGTGAGACAAAACTAACATTCTTGTACAGTAAACAGTGTCAGTGTACACAAACAAAACAGATATTTGTATATAAGAAAAATGTTTCGTTTACTGCCATAGTGACAAAACATCTAAACATTTTGACCAGTAGCCTATGGGCTTACATGATGACAAAACAACTTTTCATTTTGGTGGCATTGGCTAATTTACTGACACAATAACTAAGCATTGAAGCACTCATGAAATGTTTTGGGCGAGTTATTACCTTTTGTAGACATGCAATAGGTTTGGGATGCCCCATGAAATACTTACACTCACATTTTAGAGAATGTTAAGACTGTTTCAAAAAATGAGCCACAGCAAATGAGAAAACTGTAACTTAATCTTGTTCGGCCCCTGTAGGACATTAGGCCACAACAAGTTTCATCAACTGGATGCTTTCCTTTGCTCTTTTAGGTGTTCTTCCATGTTTTCTATGCCTGGAAGTCCAGCTCAGCTCAACCTTTTGAGATGCCACCTCCCTCCACTCACAACACATGACCCAGCCATCACAGTCACCACAGTGACCCTAGTTCTGAATTGCACAGGCTTATTTTTCTGACAACATATGTGTAATGTGTTTGCTGACACATTTTTCAGTTAAGCCAGAATGAGAGTAGAGCAGATTTAGCTTATCTCTTTAATGTTTTCTCACACGTTTTGTAAGCGGTATGTCAACTTCAAAATTACATTACTGCATGGGAACGTTTTGAGCTACAGCCAGGTTTGACAGTAAGAGACAGCCAATTGACCTAAATGTGGTTTTATAGTTCATCTGTTTTTCATTAAAGCTACGCACTGGACTGCACTGTCAGTGCATCTATCCATATACAGTAATAGTACAAACAAGTAGAGTTAGACACATTCTGTTCCTTCCATTCCTTTTTCTTTCAGCTAAGCAAGACCTATTTCCACAATCAGCCAACACCATTCTATACACAGAGGTCTTAGGATGGTTTATGAATTCATCAGTAACCCAGTATGTGCTTTATTTTCCCGCCAGTAAACAGTTTTGGAAGGGAGAGCTGTGGTCAAACTGTTGATATCTCAGTTTGGAAAGCAAGCCATCATTTCTATACAACCTAATTTTAGACTCTTATAGCCAACTAGTCCTCAAGCGACAGCACGAATACCTGTTGGCTCTTCTCAGGCCAATTCCCACACCTTCGCCTTTCTGAAAAAATATATCTTGTCTCTGGCTCACTATCAAGCTGCCAGTACTGTATTCGATTCTGGGGAGATTTAACACAACCGCTTGCTGTAATCAACAAGGAAAACTCATGCTGAGAAGCAGTAAAGACTCAAAAAATACACACACAACATAAAATTAGTCATCCTCTCTCTCTATATCTCTGATAAATACAATCATAAAGTGAAAATAGATGTGTTAACTCCAGTGGACGCGGGGTGGTATTTGGCCGAGGGAGGTGTAAATGATGAGAGAGAGTTTCCTGAGATAAAATACCCCACAGAGTGATAAATTGAGGGGGAGAGGTGACCAGCTGTCTCTTCTGTCTCCTCCCTGGTGCGTTTTGAGCCTTCCTCACTTTCATTCTCTTTCTGTCTTTCGTTGGGCATCATGGGGGAAGAGGGATGACAGAAGCTGCCATCTGGGAGTCTGTCATCTCTCTTTCCCCATCTTAGTCTTTTTCTTGATCCTATCTCTTACTCCTGGCTTCTCTTTCTTTCAATTCATCCTTATCTCCTACTTCTCTTACTTACTTTGTCCCTTCTACTCTATCCCATTTCTCCGCCTTCCTCTGTATTATTCTTCTTTCTCCATCTTTCCCCTGCTAAATTTCCTCCTGATTTTCCCTCTTTCTCATCTGTTTGGTTTTCACTTCCTTCCCCCTTTTCTCATTTCCCTCTCTAACATCTTTGCTCACTTTCTTACCTTTCTTTTAGACTTCCTGACAATGTTTTTCACTTTCTGCTTACTGTCCTATCTTCTGTTTCTTCCTAATCCCACCCCACCCCCCATTGTTTTTCTTTTCTCCCACCATCCGTGCAACCCACTTCTATACTTTGAGTTTTCGTGATTTTCCGCTTTCAGCATTTATCTGGTCTAACTGGTCCGTAATTGGTCTTGGTGTGAAACTCTCCACTGGAAGACTTCATAAGTGAACACACTAACTGATCTGCAGCCAAAAGAAATGTTTCCAGCGTAGTTTTTAATGCTTCTCCAATTCCAGGATATAGGATCTAAGGCTTTGCTCAGAGTGTCACTAGGAGAACATTTATCACTGCTTTATACTGAGACACTGTCCAGACCTGCAACAGGACTCTGAGAGCAAAGGTCTAAAATCAAGTACTCTATATATTCCTATGAAGACTGAGGTTGGCGGTATATTCCATGACTAAAATTGGATTGCTCATACAAGAGAACTGGCAGTTTTGTGAGAAAAAACATTAAATTATACCTTGGCTGACGTTTGCCTTCTAGACATGTCTTGTTTCACAAACGGACGATATGCCTTGCAATTCTCTAAGGCTTGTATCTGTTGCTATGATTTTATGTTTATTTCATGTTTTTTTGAGGAGCATGCAAATTGTGTTTTTATCTTGCATGGATGCCATTGACCAAACAGTGCTCTATGCTCACATTGTGAATGATGTGGAATTTGCTAGCAGCGCTGTATATGACAGCAGTTTGACAGTTTTTTGTTAACACACCATATTCTGACTTCTTTTTTAGTTGTTGGTTCAGTTATTTTTCTAACAAAAAAAAGTATGTTTTATCAGATTTGGCCTGATTATGCATCTTGTCAGAGGTCCAGGAAGTGCAAGATTTGTGGGAATCAACATGGTGAAGTCTTGTTTTATTAGTTTGCTTTCAGTTATTCTGTGAGAATCTGGGTCTTTTTGGAATAAAACTAAAGCACTGCATAGAGTCTGTTCAGATACAGAATCAAACTGTGGATTCTGTCACTCTGTGTTGCAATTTTTTGAATGAGCTTGTAACATGATTGAATAAATTTACTTAGAGAGACACTTAATGTTTATTGGCTCCTCCCAGTATCTTTAAATTAAAAACACACTGGTAAGCCAGGCTTATTATAAAGCTTCAGGAATGTTCCCTTATTGTCTCCTAAGTGATCTAGAGTTGACCCAGCTCCGTCCTTGAGTTTAATCTGTTCACTAGCATTCAAACGGCACTCCTTTATCAGCAATTAAGCCATCAGATAAATGAGGCATGAAAATCCCAGTGTTCATAATGATTCACTGCTAAACAGCCTGATACTGTCTAGAAAACATGCTCATGCATTATTCCTCGAACTTGCAGGATAAAGCAGTTTTCAGCTCTGATCCACTGCCTCTGATTGGCAGAAGTATTGACTATCAATACTGTCAGGCCGAAGTGGGATTGAAGTGAATTCTTACCATGGTGGTTTCTTGGATGGAGCCAAAACTGTTGATGAAAATGTTCACTCTGTCTTCCACAGGGATACCTGGAATTAGAAAGAGTAATGAAGAGATTATAGTCCTTTGTTACTTTACAATGAGAGTGAGGGTGCCGCTGTGCTTGTATGTTACAGTAAGTGTCAGTATGCTATGTAAAAAAGAAAATATATTTCTACATATTGTACCTGGTGATTCAATTGATTGTGTTAATGGTCAGAGTTTGGGAAAGACTTTATCAACACTGCAAAGTAATCTGCTAACACTATAGACATATATACTTGCATCTCTCTCCACTCCACCTTTAGCACAGAATAATGAAATCCTTGATAATTGCAGACTGTTCACCCCGCTTTGAATAAATTAGTTCCTTTGAGGTGTTTACTGGAGGCTCAGGAGTTTCACAAGACAAATTCTATCAAGCAATTCACAAAATTAATGTGCATAATATGGAGGTGGTATACAGCTCATATCTTCCATGCAACCAAGCAAACTAATTCATATTCAAGAAACACTTCTGGTGTTGTTTTAAAATTCTCTATACGGTCTATAAAAGCAGCTCACCACTTTATAGGTCTGGCCAAAGTAATGCACAAGGCACAGTTTAGGATGTAATTTGGGAGATTATGACATGGATGTTAATGGACGGGGAGCTTTCAGCCCACCCTGAAATCAAGAGCAGATGTTTGGCCGCTCAGACCAGTCGAAGAGGGAACTGATTCTGCTCACAGCACATCAAACATCGAGCCCCGGATACGGCTCCTGCTGCCAAGTGCCAGAGGATGGAAACTAACTGAAGGTCTACCTGAAGACTGGTAAGACCATCAGTCAGATGCAGCGGTCAGCAATCACCTCTTTGTTATTTTTATGGCTGTTTCTGTGAGACTGAGGCCTGGAGCTCCCTACAGTGTGACATTTATAGTACACTGTAAACACTGTAAAGATGGAATGGTCTCAGACGGGAACGAATAAAATGGCAGATATTTACTTTGTTGTAGAATTGACATGTTAAGTAAATAGTTTCACTGAAAAAGTAAGATATTATATACAAAGTATAAAACTGTATGTTTTTTTTCAGACTTTTTCAGACTGGCTTTTGTCACAGATTTAATTCCCATAACAGCTTGTTTGTGTCAATCAACAGCATCTTTGAGGAAAACAGTCACCCCGAGAACATCAGCCTTTTATAACTGTGTTATATAAAAGTCTATGCATAACAGGAATACAATTTATATTAATGTGTCAAGCATCACTTATGAAGAAAACCCCCTGCACCAAGTTTGTGGAAGAAATCTGAAGGTACATATTCATAGTATACTGGTTTCTTTAATTAGCATGACAGCACTGCAGCAAAAATGTAAATTAAAAATAGACAGAGACAGATGAAGAGGGAAAGAGACTTGCCTTTGAAGTTGGGCCTTATTCTGGGATCATAGGTGATCAGTAACCTGTTCAAGATGTTACTGGTTGAATTTTCAGGGACTCGGGCCAGATCCTCAGATGACAGCTGTCTGCAAACAAAAGAGACAGAGAGGGAACTGTAGGCACGATTACATTAGCAGGTCAAATTCTTGGCAGATGAAGAGTGCAGATGCACAGTACACCCAACTCTACTGTGTATACTCTTTGATTAAACTATAACCTCAGAGAGCTACCAGTTAAGGATTAAATTGGCTTTTTAACAATTCAAATAGGTGGGGGGAGTTGACCTGATCCTTCAGACAGATAGGGGACGTTATTTTAACCTTCTAGGACAATTACGTAATACCTAAAAATCTCACTAAAAATCAGTACTGTATTACAGGTCCAGTGTCTAACATTTAGGATCTATTGGCATAATCGTAATAATATATTAATAGGTATATTTAGTGTATAATAACCTGAAAATAAGAATTATTCTGTTTTTTTTACCTTTTCCATTTGGATCTACAGAGACAGTGGACCCTCTTTCACAGAAATGCAAACGTTCGCAATCTGCAACTTCATCCCTAAATGCTACTAAATCCTACACACTGGTCCCTTATGTCAATAAGCATTATATTTCTAACAAAACTAAGAAGGCTACAGCCATAGTGGCTCTGTGAGGCTGTTCTTAGGTGTAGCTGGGCTTTGAGTTAGATGCTAGCATGCTAACATGCTCACAGTGACAATGCAAACTGATGTTTAAATAACCAGTGTGTAGGATTTAATGGGAATTTGCAGAATGCAGATTGTAGCCAACTAAAACTGCTCACCTCCGTAAGACAAACTACGGTGAAACTCGCAAAAAACCCAAAAGGCCCCATCTAGAGTCAGTGTTTGTTTTGTCCATTCTGGGCTACTGTAGGAACATAGCAGTTCAACATGGCAGACTCCGTAGAAGAGGACCCGCTCCCTCTGTAGATAGTACAGCACACATGATGCTGATACAGTGGTCAAATGCTTGACAGCAAGAAAATGGCAATTTTCTTGACTTATTTGTAAAGTAAAAAGTAAACAATTAGAAATAATTTAGCACATTTTTCTAGATTTATTTTGAGTTGTCTTGAGAAAAACTCCTTTAAAGAATTGAGCCAATTAATCTGTCATGTGGGTGGCAAATAGTAAAACTGACTTTTGTGACAAAAAGTTTATTATTTGTGCTGTGTATATCCAGTTTTTATTGAACTCAAAGGGAATTTTTCTGTTTGAACTAGCCTGCAAAATAGCAAAAAACAGCTGTCTACTGAAAATTATCACCATAACATAAAGTGGTGACTTTCAAAGACATTCAGCCAAACATTGTTTGTTTTCTGAGATTGACTGATGAAAAAACAATGGGACAGAGAGAGCGAAAGGGGAGAACAAGATCTGGCAGAAGAGAAAGGAGAAAAAGAAAGCCTCCTTGTGGGTGGCAATGAATTCTCCTGCCAAAGAATTTCCCCTTCTCAAAGCACTTTACATATCATTATGTAAACCTTATCATACACTGAGGATGAGTTAAAGTGCTCCACAGGAATGCTGCGCAGTGTGTGTACGTTCTGCGGTTCCTCTGATCAAAGTGAAACACATAATTCCCATCCACTAAACCTTTTTTTTCTCTCTTTTAACAGACCCTTCTGACAACCTCGAGCACAACGGCTAAACTGGAACCAAGTGGTTCCCTTGATCCACAGAGGGATCCGCAGTACTAAACACGAAATATGTCATACAGCTTACACTTGCCAATACTGGGACTACATCAAACGCTTTCTCCCTCATTTCAGAAAGTTTCATTGTCGAGCCATTTGTTACCATTTAAGGAAGTAGAGGGTGCAGCTTTCCACTGCATAGAGACAATGAGCAGTCCAGAGGCATGTTAGAACATATTGATGTTCCTTCTATTATGAGAGATATGCAGAAACTACCTTTTTGGTTTATCTATGACCAGACAACTTCACCACTTATTTGACACAGTTGTTAGCAGGCAGACAGACAGCAAAGAGTAAATATGGAAGTGCTAAAGCTGCGGCCAAAGTAGTGTCAGGGTTAATTATGTCACATTGCAAGTATTGAGTACTTTTTTAAGTGTTTTTCATATGATACTTGAACCAGTTGATGAAAAGGTAAGATCCATCAGGTGTAAAATAGAAAGTTATGGGGGCACTTCAAAAGGACATTAAAGGGAAATTCCACCAGTTTCACACATAGGACAGTTTAGTCACTGGGAGTTAGAGCTGCCCATTAAAAGTTGATTTAACTGTCAGTGGATGAGAAGAGTCTTAGACCACCTGCAGAATAAAAAATTCAAACTCCATTCAGGAATTGTGTCTTGTCATCAGGACGAAAGTATCAGGGAATTGTTGCAACATGGACCCTTTCTCTTGTAACACAGGAAGTTACTTACTGGTGCACTGTTGCATGTGCTAACTGTACTAGCTGCCATTACTTACTTCCTATTATTAGTTACAGTCTTATTTGCTGACTCTACACGGACTGGGAGCTCAAAGGATGGGAGGTTTGTTTACCCTTCTAGAGTAGGAGTTTTGGACCGGAGGGAGGAGGAGGTTTTCAGGCCCCAGGGAGCGGGGCCAGAATCAGGCGAGGACAGGAAAGGCATAAAACAGGAGATGAGCGAGTACGTAGCAAGTTAATTTGTGAGTAACTGTTAACGTTGTGCATCATCCATCATGCTGATAAGTTTGCAAGTATTTGTTATTGTGAAGTTGGAAGTTTTTTCACGTTTTTTAACTGAGATGTTTTATTGTGTTGAAATAAATTATGAAATAAAAATGAATTCATTAATTCAATTAATTCTCCTTAGTGGTTGCTCCGACACATTCAATGAATGCCCCTTTTTAGAAATTAGAAATTTAGACAGTCACCTTGAATCCCACCTTATAATGTTGTCATTACTGCACTTAGTATTTGCAGTGAATGTTACATGACGTACATAATGTTATGTCGTCTTTTGCACCATATAACAACCCAAGGTGTTGTTTATTCTATACTTACGATGGACAGTAAACCTGCTTCCCTTTTTTCTTTCCCTTCTTTGTTCCTTTTTCTTTGGCAGATCCTCCCTCCAGACAAAGAGAGAGCACAAGGAGAAAGATGGCGAGCTTCTTAATGCCCATTCTGGTGCGAGTTGAGCCTGTGGAGGAAAAAAAAACTGTTTAAATAAAGAGAGGGGGCCACAGCATTTAAATTACTCAAGCTTAATGGCGCACAATTCAATAACCCAAACTGAATAGTTTTCTCGTCACATTCAACAAATCTCAGCATTCATTTGCACATGAAGACAGAAGCTACTTAAGCTTTTCCCTGGGTGGCAGACGGTATAAAGCTTCAGAGTGCTTTATCTAGCCACTGAACACTGTGACTTTGCCCCGTGCATTCCTGACATGCTGCATCCCCATGTACTCTGGATGCATGTCACATACAGTAAATGTCTGAAATGTAAATTAATCAATCTGACATGGTTTAATCAAGTAGTGCAAGATCAAGCATAAATCCAATCAGTAGAGTAATGTAGCTGAATAACGATGGTCATTCAGGACTCTTCAGGTGAATGTGACCTCTAAAGGATGGCTGAAATAAACATTATCTGAAATATCGTCTACTTTGTTCTAGAATCTGCAGAGGAAAGTCTAACAGTAATAATGCTCTTTCTGCACAGAGCTGTAGATTCTCTATTTTATCACCACAGTTGTTTATCATGATCTTTACAAACTGTTACAGGTCAATACTTTCTCACAACACAAAGACTCAAATGCAGGAGACAATATAGTCCTGTGTGTACAATAAATCTGTTGGTTAGAAAATCCAAAGCCAAGTCTAAGAGTAACACGACTATATACAAATGCACACCTCTATGCAAAGGCGGTGCATTTTTGCATTTCTTGATAGGGGTCATTAATCAGCTAACAGCCATAGTACCTGTGTGATTCAATCCCCATCTAGGAAAGCGGTGCCCTTTCATTGCATAGGGACACAGAGACCAACAGCAAAGCCAGCAGTCTCCCCCCCCCCCCCACCCAGCCAGCAAGACTATATATTAACTGAAGCAGTTTATTGTCTAGACACAGACACTCTCTCTCTCTTTCTCACTGCCTTGGCCCAGTAACTCCCTGACTGCTCCTTTCCTGCACATTGATCATCATGTTCTCCACTGGAAATCGTTTCCAGCGCTCCGCTCAGCACCTTTTGTTACCATGCAAACACCTTGTCTCACCCCGAGCTAAGTCAACATTGTTTCATCAGTTTGGAAAATTCCTGCAAAATGGGAGGTTGGTTGGTGTTCCCATTGTGGAGGAGAAAATGGCCAACATACATCAACACTGGCACACACGTATCGGATGGCAGCAGCTGGAGTGATGGGAAATGTTTAAGTGGGCAAGCAATCACGTTTCTTAGAAAGCATTTCTTATGTGACCTACAATTTGTATGTCCCATCTTCCTTCTAGCATCTGTTTAACTCTCATCTCAGACCATCTACTCCAGTCTCCCTGACAGGGAGGAGGAGGAAGCACAGGATTGGTCCATATGCAGGAGTTTTATTACAAAATAAGACACATTTCAAAATCTTGACATTGCCTATTGCCTATGGCCAAAACTCCCAAACTTTTTGGCTTGTAACCCCTTAATAGCCAAGGAATTTCCCATCCCAACCCTTTGTAATTGGTAGAGTGTGTCTTTAATATGTGACATTAACTAAGGAGTGTCATTCCTCTCTCAGATTTGTGAAATCTTAATAGTTTTTGAGTCCTGAAAAGGTTAACTAGCTAAGTATTACAAAAGGGAGAAAAACATAGAAAAGTCATACAAATAAACATTATAGTGCGGAAATATTGTTTCTTCTTCCCTATCTTGTGTAGCAACCGCTTGCGGGCTCTGAAGCACAGTATTGTGGCTTCATGCAATTATCATAATATAAAAACTGATTACCACTGATTTTTGTTAAAAAATATTAAAAGATAAGTGCATTACAATAATAATACAATATCAATTACAATAAGTTACACAACTCCTTTCCAATATAAAGTGTTATTATACCTTAAATTAGCTTTAATCAAGCTGTTGTCAGAGGCTGTTTTCAGTTTTAGGGGCGATTAATGTGAAAATGTTGTAATTTGTTTTGTTTAATTTAGTTGATCTTGCATTGAAGATCACACTAAGACCTTGCTGTGCTTACATTCTCAAAATTGTATGTATTTTAAGATAGAACCAGGACACCATACACACCCATTCTAAACTGAACTGTGGGTTCAGCTGAGAACGAGTCCATAAATTGACCTTGGCACTGCCTGAGTCAACTCTGTGCCGACACTGTAGAACACTACCCTCGCTGTTAGTTTTACTACTGGCAATTTTAAAACTGCTGAGGCTTTGTCATCCTACAGTGGCTCACAGTGACTCAAGCGGCCTTACATGGTCTGCCCTATGGGTCCAAGGTCAATAAGAAATTCTGCTCCGCCCACATCACTTCCCCAGGATGTGCATTTTTAGATTATAGACCACAAAAAAAGCTGTGATTTGGAGTAAATAACATTTAACATCCACTTATTTGTTTTCATAATATAACACACTTAAGCGTAGTATCTGGTGTCCCCATCTGACTGCACAATGCTTTAACCCACGAGGACAGGCCTGTGCTGTGCTTATCTAAATAATCATATGCAATGCAAAACAAACAGCAGCCTATAGGCAGACTACCGGGGCACTCACAACCTGTGGCTGCACATCACATTGGCAAGAGAAAAGTAAGTAACAGAGGCGGACACTTCCCCGAGCATCAGGAGAGGAGAGGGGCTGGAGTGGGAACAACACAGCAAACAGCGACCACCATGACGAGGGGGGGATGCAGGAGGAAGATGCCTGTACATATGAACGCGATCATGCGATTTGACTTTACGTGAGTGCACGTTACGAACATAAATAACACGAAAGTCATTTATCACGAACACATGCCACCCACTCCCACTTACCGTTCGGCTTTGGCACCTGTCAATTCCTTAGAAAACTACACCGAGTAAAGCTGAGTGTGCAAGTAGTCGTTAACAGAGCCTTCCAGACCAGTCGCCGTCTTTCTTTCCCATTCTGTTGTCCGCTCCCCTCACTGAAGCAATTTGTTGAATGGGTTTCAGGGGCCGGAGAAAAGTTACATCTCGGCAAATTGCCAATTTTTTTTATTTCCGCGCCCGGTTTGTTGTTATTTTGGAATCAGTGTGTGTATATGGCTGCTGCCCTTTCGCCTCAGCTCGGGATGCCCAAGATGGAGGCTTGCGTGTACCTGTCATGCAACATGCGCAGTAGCGGCTGCACCGGAGCCGGAGAGCATCATCAGTCCTCCCATCAGCACCACGGACAGCCGCTCCCCGCCCGCCTACACAGCCACAGACGTGACGGCTGGGTGGAATAAAGAAATGCTCTCGTTCACGTGATGGACGCAAATGCCTCACTATTTATGGCCAGTGGTCTGCGTGGTATTTAGCGGCAGATGGACGTTAACAATAAGGGCTGTATAGATCATAAAGCAGAGACCGACGGCAAATTATGGATCCAATACAGTTCAGGCTCAGGGCTTCTGTTTGTGTTTACTGGTATATAAAGAGCATACAAGGCTTTACATAGACTCATTCGTAGGCTATGCCATTATAACATCTAGTTATTTGTGCCTAAATGTGAAAATACACGAGTAAATGAACACATTAAGAGCCAATCTGTAATGTTTTGACCGTACATTAAGGTATATTTGCATGTATGATCATAACGGAAATTATAAACCTATTTTTTCTGATGTGTGTACACATTTATGTATATAATAATATATTATACTTATAGACAAACATTTAATCATTTAAAAAGAGAGAGAAAGAGAAAACGATCACACCACAAGGTCCATTTATGAGCTGTTACAGACGTTTTCATCTTCTCATCTCGTCATGTCACGTGATCTCCATCAGCAGATGGAGATTAAAGTCCTTCAAGAGCGCAGGAAAAAATAAATAAATAATGTTGGCCATCTACGATTCCATGAGAAGTCAGCTGCTGATGAAGATCAAGTGATATGATTAAAAGCTCCAGAACAGCTAACACTAAATGGACCTTGTGGTGCCGAGATTTAGCTGTTTGTTTACATCTTGGTGAATGAATGAATTGAAGAACCGATAACAGAAGCAGTGAGTGATGAATTAATGAATGAATGGTTTATATGAGTAGCTTGGAAAAGGTTTGGAAAAGGTCCAAACTATTACAAAGCTCATCAAATATTATCACTTAATGTGGTCACACCATTGATTTTGAGTTTAAGGACTTTTATGTGACACAAGATTGATGTTCCTCTTAAGTACATTGTGTTTGGAGCTGAGCTTTCTGCTGGTGGGGAGGAAGTAATCTTATGTTGTCGTTTCTCTACAAATCAGAGGCTGAGAAGTTGTAAAACACTTGTCTGACAATGTGTGTGTGCAGGAATCTGTGTGTTTTAGGCTCAGATTACAACTGCAAATATGAGTTTCCTCTCTGAGATCGGATAACATCTTTAAAAATTAGTTTAGCTGGATGACCCTGCCTCACCTAAAGGAATTTAGTTAACACATTTTTTAGTACAGTTATTAGCATATAACAGCAACTTAAATATCAGTATTTTTATCAGTTGAACATGAGCTTTTCAGTTTTAACTAATGTCGGGCTCATATAAAACATATTATAGTGTAATGAGATCTGAGTAATCTTTCTACAAATTGGTCAAAAATAGAATCGATTATCTTGGCGATGATAGAAATTACTTTTAATTTTTTACGTGCTACAAATAGAATTATTTTATGAACCACCACATTTGCCGGCCTTCGGTTATAACTTCTCCACATAAAGAACCTTTACAAACATCTAAACTGTTTTCATTCTTTTTGTGAGTTTAGTGGGAACACATTAGAAAAACGGAGCAGGAAGCCTGATCTTTTGTTCTTTTGGTGCGAGTAAAACCCATCGCAGAACACAACTGAGCTGATTTGTTTCCCACAGTTTTGATCCATATCTCATTCATCACTTTATGTCAAACAACTTGGGCGGGCTTTTCCACGTCGATCCCCGTGGTATAATTTTGACTGACAAGGCATTCTATTTGCATACACAAATTAATCAGCCCCATATGCATAGAGATTAATGATTTATGTCACAGGGCATGGTTCTGGTGTAACAATCAAGAGGCTTGCAATCGAGCACAAGGATCCTTTTGTGTTGTCTACAGAAATGTTCACTGGCTGGCTATGGGCCATGTGGCTGATGGACAACCATGTGCCATTCCAGAAATATGTCAGGCTGGATTGAACCAATCTATTGTGGTTATACCTGGCATGCAGACCCCATTTCTACTACTACTGTAGTTCAGAAGAGTTATATGTGTTGTCACATTCATATTCAAATGAAAATAAAGATTTTGACAGAGGGAGACTTGCACAAGTAGTGCTACTAAACATTTTTTCCACGACCTGCTGCTAAGTAACATGTTTGCTTTCAATTCAGAAGTGATGGGAAGTTATTTAACTGAACCCAGAGAAGCTTCATGGACATAAATTCAGATCAGTGACAAGATAAATGCCTTGGAAGGGGACGAAGCACATGAGCTGTCAAATTGAATAAGACTTTGATGAAAATCACAAAGGATGAAGAAAACAAAGTGCAGCAGGATTTGAATACTTTTGACGTGACTTGGAACGTGAAGTTATTTTGATGGATGGCACCATTATAGATTGTTGTGAAATGAAACTAAAAAAACTAAATGGTGGGGGATGCATGATTGTTATTTGTGAATCTTACTGTGAATGCTGTTCACAGGATCTAAAGTGTACTCTTCAAGGGGAGCCAGCATGTCTATTATAATAATTATAGTTTAGTTTTAATCTCTAGCAGGCACCCTTTTTTGTGCATGTCTGAAAACGGTTTTACTATAGTCCTGATCTTGGTCTCTTCTGAAAGGGAACTCTAGATCAAGAGTAAAACAAATGATGAATTCCCAATAAAAGAAAAAAGAAAAAAACAATGTTTTACTGTTCTGCTTTTTTTCACCCGTGCTACAAAATACGAATCAGAATCAGAAATCAGAAATCAGAAACAAAATAATTTAATAATCCCCCGCTGCGGGGTCCCCGTGGGAAATTACTTGAAACTGTAACCCCTCGCCACAGTGTTGACCACACTGAAGCAGTGAGCAATGAGGCTTTGTGCTTTCATATTATGTATAGTTTGTTAAAGGGAGCATTCAAATGGACGGCGTTCCAAAATATGGGGACAAACCCATAAAAAAAAATTGCAAATAAAGACTAATAGAAGTGAAATGTAAAATCATAAATTCTGCTGGCTCGAGAGGAAAAGTTCTTTATTTTGTGGTCCAACACCCTCATTACAGCAGTAAACAGGCAGTTTTACAGAACATTTACATGTTCAGGTATTGTCCTGTGTACAAAACATGCATGAACCCAAATTAATCCATAATACACATGCTAGACCTGAAGACTTTAATGTGAGACAGATTTGTAACATCTTTCAACAACACAAACCAAACACTATCCAAGCTGTACATCTTTAGTATGCATATTTTGTAAATTCAAATTCTGTGCATATTTCTACTCTTAAAAATATGCATAGGGTTGCAGGTTTGCAGATGTTCTACCTCATCCATTCCTTACCGCATAGTGCTGGGTTCCAGTACAATACTGTATTGATGAAGTTTGGCAGTGTAGTAGATTTGACCGCTGGATCATTAAATAAGCAGGTTGCCATACTGGAAACGGAGTCTTCCCAGTCAGCAGATGTTTAGTAAGTGCAACACTAACTGAGATTATGATGGAGGCATCGAGCCAGGAAGCTGTTCAGAGCTCCTTTTTGGACTACTTGGGAGTAAGGAGGGAAATCCTCAAGGAGCAAGAGGTTCTTTCCAAAATGAGATGTCCAGCATTTTTTAAATGTTGCTCTCACAATATGACAGTTTGCTGTTGAAATTCCTAGTAAACTGGTTTGCTTGCAACATAATAGCTCCTCTGTTCATGTAATGAGATGAATTCCTAAGAAATTGAGATGACTTTCTTCAGTATTTATATTATTTCAACAACACAGAAAGGTTCAAATGAGGTATCTTTGTTTTTATGCCAGCTTGTACTAACACACTGCAGATACACTCCTATTTAATTTTCTTTTCCTGAGCATTCAGGAGCAATTACATATGTAGCCAGACAGCATCACAAAAGTAACAAGTACATTTAAATCTAATTCACTTCAGGTTCTGCTGTGTAACACTGGCTGCAGACAAATGTAATGGGTACAATTATTGGATGTGAATATGAGGGTTTTGGTAGAATTAATGGGTAGAGCACAATGCAAACATACTGATCTCAGTCTGTACTGCCCCACTGGGAACTCATGTACAGTAAGAATTGTTTACAATAACTGTATTTTGTTAACTGCACTGGCACAAAATGCTTTTGATTTGACCATTGGAATAATTTGGCATGTCTTGCGGTAACTGATTAAAGACTCAAAGTGGCTATTTAATTTGACTATCTCACTTACCTGAATTGTACAGGGTTAGGGGTATATGACACTCTTAAATGTGACAATGTGCATATTGGATACATTTACTTTGAATTATCTGATTAGATTTTGTTTATAATGCCTCTAGACTTTTTCTTGGGTAAAACAGTGAATGCAGGTCTTTTAGTTGAAATGGTTTTACATTGTAGTATTGCTACTGTTCCTTAAAAATGACAGATGTTAATTCATCTTCCACCAGAGCAGAGAGTTGTATCAACTCCAGTCAAATCTGTGAGACTTTTGTAAATGAAGTTCATGTGTTTGATTACATCGGAAACAGGTTGCCCTGTTACTGTGACCACACAACCTAGAACTGATGTTTCTATTAGACTATACAATCCAGGAACAATATAACCAATCTTCCGTTTTCTTACAAAATAGAGCAACAATGTTGAGGGCAACAATGCAACAGGAGAATAAATCTATATTTTCAGATTATCATCAACTAATAAAACACACTTGCGGTGCAAGAGGACCCCCTCCCCAGTTGAGATTAGGGGGGAGAGGTAGAGATGGTGGACACCTAGCCAAGATCCTGGTTGACACTCAACAATAAACCTGGACTGACCGGATCACACCTGAGACCCCTACAGGAAACACCAGAGCACGCGCTGTTCTTTCTGAGAAAAAGGCTCAGGTCATTCAACGTAACTGCAACTCGGCTACTACAGATGTTTCTAAACCAGTCCTGTAGTGGCAGTGTCCT